GTCTGCGTGTGTGTGTTTGTGTGTGTGGGTGTATGTATTTATTTATTTGGGTATGTGTGTGTGAGGGGGGGGGGTGCTTGTGTGCATGTGTGTTTTTGTATGTGTGTGTGCGCGTGTTTATGTGCATGTGTGTTTTGTACGTGTGTGTGTGTGCGTGTGTGTTTGTGTTTGTATGTGTGGGTGTGTGTGTACGCATGAGTGTGTGTGTGTGGATGTGTGAGTACGTGTGTTTGTGTGTATGAGTGTGTGTGTGTGTGTGTGTGTTTTTGTAGGTGTGTGGATGTGTGTGTGTGTTTTTTAGGTGTGTGGATTTGTGTGTGTGTGGCGTGTGCATGTGTGTGTATGTTCACGTAGGTGTGTGTGTAGGAGGGTATGTGTTGGTGTGTGTGTGGTTGTGTGTGTGTGTTTGTCTGTCTGTGTCTGTATGTGTCTGTGTTTGTGTCTATGTTTGTGTTTGTGTGTTTTGTGTGTATCTGTGTGAGAATCTGTATGTAATTGTTTGTATTTGTGTTTATGTGTGTGTATGTGTTTATGTCTATATGTGTTGTGTGTGTCTGTATGTGTTTGTGTGTGTGTGTTTTTGTGTGTGTGTGTGTGTGTATGTATCGATATGTATGTATTTGTGTGTTTGTGTCTGTGTGTATTAGTGTGTTGTGTCTATATTTAGTGGAGTTAAACCAATATAAAATATTGTTAAAAAAGACTTATTTAACATTAGTAAAATTTTATATATATATTTATTTATATATCATGGTCCTTATACTCAATTCTAAAATCATTTTGAATAATTGTATTTAATGAAAACATAAAATAAACCTCACTTGTGAAATGGTTGTTCGGGAGATACTTAAAGAAAAAAATGATAATAACAAATAACATTACAATTGAATTTATGGACACAACTCTTACAAAATTAAAAGAAAGAAAAAATAAACAACAACATTAAAAAAAAATGTATAAAAAGAATTGAACAAACGAAAGCGAGAGAGTCAGCTGTGGACGAGTGAATTAATTAACAAAGGTGCAATGTTTCCTGATCTCGCCGTTGGAGCCAGTGAGGACGTCTATGGAACCCATTTGAACCATTGCCTTGGCAAACTTCTGAGACCAATTCGCAGGATCGTTGGCATTGCCGAGAACCATTTCCCGGGTGGATTGAGAGGTGAACAGCGTCTGATCCGATGTGAGCAAGCCTCGGTGGTTGATCAATCCATCGTAGTATTTGGTGTCCAAACGAATGGGAGTGGAAGGATCAAAAGACACGGTTGGGTCTGAGATGGAAGGTGGCGCAGGACACTTTGTTTTCAAGGTTTCAGCGTAGGAAGACTCCATCGATGGGTCTTGCGGCAAGGTCTGATTGAAAGAGTACAACCGCTTAGAGAAGGAAGAACAATGCGACACACCAATGGAATGGGCTCCCGAAAGTGTCACCATTTCGTCTGCAGACAAACCCTTTCGTGAAAACCTACTCACAAGCTCATCGGCGCTCAGGGTTGGTGCAGGCAGATTCTCCGCCGCTTCATCGGCCACGGAGACAAGACCGTCTCTGCGTCCTGTTGGAACGTCGTAGTTTATGCCACCCACTTTAAGAACACTGTCTCTTGCTGCCAAGGCCAATATGTCTGCGCACGACACCGTCTGAGGACATGCAGCCTCCAACTGGGCCTTGGCGTCCTCAATGACCTCGAACCCACGCAAGCTTGGGTTGTTGGCAAAATGGTCTCTTTCTGCTGGGTTACCCTGGGTAGATGCTAGCAACACGGAAGCATCGCAGCCCTGAAAAAATGCATAAATGAAATTGATGAGGGTGTTCTTTAATACGATGATAGTTGAGAGATGAGTGATTGATTTTACCCTGACAAAGCAGTCGTGGAAATGCATCCTTATGAGACCAGCTGCTATGCCTGAGTTTTCTGAAATGGCTTTGTTTACAGTACTTCTCACTATTTCCTCCGCAGATGGACACGTGGAGGCGTAGAACGCCACTTTGAGAGACGCTGAGGCCAATGAAGAAAGAGAAACTAGAATGAGAAGCAAAGTTGAAATGATCGGAAGGAAGCGGCGAGTGATAATATCCATTGTTGTGGGTTATTGCAAAAGGCAGAATGTATGAATGAAAGTGAAGTTAAGGAGAAGGTAAGATGAAGAGTATTATTTATAGGTTGTTTTGAAAGAAATGGTCATCAAAGTGTGTCTGCGGTTCAACTCTTTTCTTTTATTCTTCAGCCTCAGTTTTTGTTTATTGTTTGATTATATGAAAATTAGGATAACATATTTATTTAGCACTTGCACAAGTCCACTGAGAATTTTTCTTTGTTTTGTGTCTGCTGCATCTATCTGCATGTCATGTGGCATTTAACTACTACAATTTTATCATAACTTTTCACATTTTTATAGTCAATTCTTCAATCTTTTTTGTTGTCTACAAGCCGCTCTGGCCGTAGACGGGTTCAAGAGGAGTCCGTTGGATAAATTAAGTATATAAATCTCTCCTTAAAAGAATCACATTTCTCACATTTTAAATAACATAACACATCACCTTATTATTGTCATTATTTTATTTTTAATAAAAGAAACTCTCTTTTTTTTCATTAGTAACTAAAAGAAATACAGTTATAAACAACTAATATACTATAATGTATAATAATAAAAATTGATGATTAATAACTTAAGTAAAGGCATTATCGATGATAAACCTTATACATGGTTATGCATAAATAATATTGCATAAAAAATAATAGAGATGCAATTATATTAACGTTATAAGTTTTATTACGTTATTTTTAATATATCTAAAAGTATTTTGTTATTAAATTTACAACTTTTTATCTTTATATCTTTATTTACGGTATGTCCAAAAACAATTATAAAAAAGAAATGGTTTCGTACTTTTATATATTATTATAGAAATTAAATTTCATAAAAAAGTTTGATAATTACTTGTTAAACTCGATTTTTTTAAATACATATATTATTTAAATTTCTTAGGTGCTTAAGTTTGGAATAAAATTATTAAATTTAAATAAGACAATTATAATTTTTAAAATATTCAAGTATGGAATTATTTGTGTTCTTATACAGGCGACCGAGTATCGTGCAAAGACTATATTTCTTTGAATGTCTCCAACATGCAATCTTTAAAGTGCTCATTCTCGTCCTCCTCAATACTCGTTCTTTGTAAGATGAATGAGGTTGTTCTTATAGAAGACACTCATCAAGTGAACTTCTCATGTTAGTAGTATTAAATGTGTAATTAATGAGAACATAAATAAAATACCTAATGATTATGCTATTTATAATATAATTCGTTACGTTTATAGGACTTTACCTAGATAGGTCTAAGCTTGGGCCGAGTGACACATTTGCCTTGTCTAAGTCAGTGTTTGATCGTTATATTCAAGCTTTATTCAAGCTTGAATATATTCAAGCTTTGAATATATTCAAGCTTCATTCCAAATATAGATAAAATGAATCAATAAAAGTTGATGAAAGTTTTTGCAAAACACTTTGGGTAAACTTTGAGCATGTAGTTACAAGAGCATATATACCAATATCCTACACATTTTGTCTCTTCTAACTTTGAGCATTTTGTCAATTTCTTCAGTACAAATCATAAGTTAGGTATACACATTCATTACCTTCCTTTCGATAAGGCAAGTAATTCAGATTGAGCTTTATATCCATTGAAACAAAGAATGTGTTTGATGTAAAGAGTTTTATATGCATTTACTTATTAATGTGAATATATTGTGTTTCTTAACTCTTTTCTATTAGCTTATCTTATACGTGTAGTTTGTATTGCAACTAATAGTATGACGTATTTCATAAATGATTTTATACTTTAAGATGACCTTTTTAAAATTGATTGGCATCAACAATTTATAATAAACTCATGTTAACAATTCTGCTAATTAGCTACAAATGTTTATTGTTTTATTTCTATAAAATTTTTATGACTTATTTATTTATAATATTTTTGTATTAATGTTTAAAAGCTAATTATATAATAATACATACTTTAAAAAT